TTAGTTGGTTAGACCATGTGCTGATGACACTTTATCAGATTCAGGGCCCTTTATTGTGGTTCTGTAGCCAGAGGGAATGCCTAATTCTGGCCATCTCTCTTTAAATAGATACTCATGATCTCTAAGGACATTGAATGAGCGATTCATAATGTACCAGTTCAAACTCATTATCATATTGAAAAACTAGTTCAAAAGTGAATATTCTTTGGTTTCAATCAGTAAAATTATCTTTAATTAATTATTAAGAATTTCATTCTTATCTTTTATTGCTGTATTTGGAGATATTTCTTTACATTCTCTTGAATAGATGTATGTAAAATTAGTTTCTAAAAACTGAGTAAGACACCATCTTAACTTATTGCACTTTAAGTCACGTAGCGAATTCCAAAATGATTTGCTATGAAAATTCTTGTAAAGTTTCTATTCCTAGAAATCAAATGAATTAAATTTAGAAAATTCTAATCAACACATATTTTCAACAACAAATATGAGTTGAGTGAAATGAGGCTTAGCAAAGCTATAATGTAGCTAAAGTATTCCTAATGAAGTTATAGCATTAATTAGATTGTCAAAGCAAGTCTTTCAATTTTAGATGTTGCTTTTATATTATAATGAAGGGAGGAAAACTGGTCTTCCATAGCATCTAATTACTTTGGAATTCTTTAAAAACTTGAGTAACTACAAAATGCAAAGAACACATCATGTGCTTTTTTGATCCTTAACATCTTATATTTATCATGTTACAAGAACACCCAGGTGAAAAATCAGTCACATGGGGAAATTGATGCAGCTATCTTTTGAGTCGCATAACAGTCCATCCCCAACTTTTTAAAATAATTTTTAATGGCTTTTTGATAGGCATTTAGGTTACCCTTAGTTCCCATGCCTAAAAGACACAGGATGGATAAAGTAACAGTAACTGTCTTACCAACTTCCTGGGGCCCTGGTAAGGGCTAGTCTTATTTTTATCCATTTTATCATGATTTATTCCTTCAACTTTAAAAATATCTGATGCCCAGTGAAGAATTCTTTCTCCCTATGAAACTGATCTGTTGAAATAATCACTGAAAAGGGAATCATTTACTGTTAGTTCCATAGAAACCAGTCAAGATTTGTGAGCTGCTTTTTTGCCCACAGATTTAGGTTCAAATTAATGACCCTTGGAGGCAACAGTATCAGAGATAATTTTAGAGTTTGTCATTTTCTAAATCTGTAGTCATTCAAAATAAAGCTTTCTTTTTATAGATAGTGATATTCATTCAACAGTGATTAAGAGATTTATTTAAATTAATTTTGTATCCCTTCACAGACAGCTTCTAGAAGGAGAAAAGATTATTAAGCATATACTTGCTTTTGTGTTATGATTTATTGAGTAAACATTTATTATCTGTTAAATAGAATATTTCATCTGAAAATGTAATCCTAAATATAACACCCTACTAAAATATTACATAAGTCCATGGGTTGAGCGTTGACCCATAACCAAGAGGTTACCAGTTCAATTCCCAGTCAGGGCACGTGCCAGATTTTCGGGCTGGATCCTCAGTAGGGGGCATGTAGGAGGCAGTCAATCGATGTGTTTCTCTCTCATCAATGTTTCTATCTCTCCCTCTCCCTCTCCTTCTAAAAAAAAATCAATAAAAACATTTAAAAAATAAAATATTACATAAAATGCAGTGTAGATATTTTAACGAGAGCATTATTGAAAATCAGAAGGCAAAGAAATGATTGAGTCCATTCCACTAAGTTAAAATTTAAGTAAAAGGAGCCTGATTGGAGGACTGCCTGCCTTTTTCTAACCCATAGCATCTTCTCAACTCCTACTCATTCCCTCTCCTTGAAAATAAAAAAAGTACTACCCACCCATCAACTCAATAGATCTTTTCTTTATTGTTGACCAAGTAGGGAAAAACCTTTATAAACTTCATATTTTCCATCTTTTAGAACTGAATTGTTGTGATTCAAGCTCATAAACTGAGAGGAAAGACTCCAATGTAAGGAGCATTATTTTGTTATGTTTAAAAAGGGAAAATCATCACTATTAGATAGAGTAAGAAGGTTTTTCTCCCTTCTAATCTAAAACTTGAGGAAAATTTCAACAGGGTTTATAAAGGAATTTAGTAGATTGGATTTCATTAACACAATAACAAATAAATGTAAATATTGGCAGTCCTATAACCTCAAAACAGTTACTATGATATAAGAAACTAGAATTTAGCTATTAGTGTTGCCTTCATAATTTCATTACTGTGGCTTCTTTGCACACTTTCTCCAGTGACGCAAATACAGACGTGATTTTTGGAACATCAGACTTATGGCTGCCTTCTCTCTTCTTCATTACTTATGTTGGACAAACGGCCATAATCACTTGCCAAAAATAATCCCACAGTTCAGTAAATTTTAGTCTTGAGGTCTGTCGTGTCCTCCTTAGACCACCGGTAGCCTTGTCTCTTGGAGATCAGAAATTGGACACTTCTTTTTGATGTTTAACGAACCAGACTGTTTCTTATAACCTCTAAGGATGAATACAGCAAAACAGATTTTCTAAGCAACGTCACTAGAAACAGGAGCAAATCCCTTTGGAATACATCTTCTCCAAAAGACCAAATTATTTTTCTATCAAGCTTTGTGATATTTGTATTAAGCTGATGATAGTGGTAGAGTCTCTAATAGGGTAAAATATTATAAGTTACGTGTATTTTCTTTTATCGATATTTATATACAGAAACTACTAAAGACTCACCAAATTTTGGTAATGTAATATTTGTATTCTTTTGCTGGAGTCAGCTTTGAGAAACTAAGGGTAAAATTATTATTCTTATACTATAACCAATCCCATGAAACTAAAGTCAAAATAGGGAGCTTAGTTAATTCCATCAACTTCCCTGTTCCCTATTCCTCCCTTACCAGTTACCACCTCCCCTGACTCCACCCTACACATACTTCCTTTGCTATATTTTAGGAAATTTTTTTTCAGCCTCATTTCTTCTCCCTCCTGTTTTTCAGCTTTGTAATTTTGTATAACCTTTCTAATGCTTTCCTGTGGATTATGCTAAAGTGTAATAAATAAATCACAGTTGAATTTGTAGAAAGACCTTATACCATCAAACCGTAGTTAACAGAAACTGATAGGTCTTTTTAAAGAAGTATGATGTTAACTCTGCTCTCTTTTCCATTTCTCCTTAGTACTTTAGTGTTTTCTTCTTTGAACAGTTTCAAACTTCTAATTTTCTCTGTTATACTGAATAGTTGAATGGCATGTAATTATCAAATAAAATTCCCAGTCTTGTTGTTCAAGTAGTCAGCTTTCTCCTCCACTATTATATAAATTTTATTATCAAGTGATTATTAAGTATATTTTATTTAAAAATCTCTCAAGTCTTAATTCCAGGTAATATATAGGGTGTCCAAAAAATGTATATTTTAACAGCTCAATTTTGAAAATGTATTTTAATAACATTGCCTTTATAATTATTCAAAGTATGTGTATACATTTTTGGGACACCCTATATTTTAAAAATGGTGCAAGTTTTATTCTCATGCTTCCTTTAAGAGTCTGTTAACATGAAATGAATGCCCCTACGCAACTTTCATTTTTCTGTCTTTGATTTATTGTTAAACTTCATAAGCAAACAAGGAGCCCAGAGTTTTATCTTCTGCCTTCTTTGTCATTTGCAGAATACCTTGACGATTGCCCCCATGAAACAGTATTACTTTCAGGAGTATGTTTTTGAAGAGAATTTGGTGATGGTGCTATTTATTTTCATCCATCTAATATTTAGGATGCATTTCGGTGTTCATTTTAGCCAAGTCTTAACAGATTAATTTTTACTAATTTATAAAATTAAACATAGCAGTTCTGAAGATAAATGTATAAACGGGCCTACAAATGGCAGCCATGCCTTTGCTGCCTCTCAGGAGAGAGTGTTCCTGCAAACCTGAGCGAAGCCTTTGCTTTCCCATCCTCCTCGAGCCTAGCAAGCTGTAGGGAACGTGGACTTTCTCTTCCTCCGTAGCCAGAATAAGAGATGAGGGTTGTAAAAGGCATCTTTTCTGGGCATTTTTTTTTTAAGTAAATAATTAATGGGTATAAAGAGAGCAGAGTGCCTGAAGAATGGCTCTGTGTATAACACAGCCAACAGCGACTTGGGCTCACTCCTCACGGGTGGCACGATACTATGACCTTCCTGTGACATTATGCCCTATACATGAAAAAAAAAGTAAATATTTAAAATTTTAATATATTTCCTTATTCTATTTATTTTTTCAAATATATTTTTATTGATTTTAGAAAGGAAGGGAGAGGGAGAGAAATAGAAATATCAATGATGAGAAAGAATCATTCATTGGCTGCCTCCTGCATGGCACCCCCACTGGGGATTGTGCCCTGATTGGGAATCAAACTGAGACTTCCTAGTTCATAGGTAGACGCTCAACCACTGAGCCACACTGGCTGGGCATATTTCCTTATTTTAAAAAATGAGGATTGCCCTAACTGGTTTGGCTCAGTGGATAGAGCATCAGCCTGCGGACTGAAGGGTCCCAGGTTCGGTTCCAGTCAAGGGCATGTACCTTGGTGGCGGGCACAAACCCAGGAGGGGGTGTGCAAGAGGCAGCTGATCCGATGTTTCAAACTCTCTATCCTTCTCCCTTCCTCTCTGTAAAAAATCAATAAAATATATTTTAAAAAATGAGGATTATAGTTAACAGTGATCTGAACTTTATTTGTCAAGATCTGTAGCATTTCTCTGAGAGATACAACTCTGAAAACTCTTCATATTGAGCTTCATTCTTTTATACTCCATTTTCCCAGCCCCATTTATTGAAGAAAATGTCTTTTCTCTATTGAGTAATCTTGACTCCTTTGTCAAATATTAGTTGACTTTGTATGCTTGGGCTTTATTTCTAGGCTCTCAGTTCTGATCCATTGGTCTATTTTTCTGTTTTTATGAAGAAAGCATTTTTAATCATTGGATTATTATATTGTGTCCTTTGCTTAGGGTGTCCCAGTGATGGCAATAAGAAACAAAATGATATCAGAAGGACTAGACCCAGATCTTCTCGAGTAAGTAATTCTTCTAATATAATGATATTACCGCTGAGATGTTTAATTTATCAGTTACAATAAAAAGATTTCAAACGATATATTTTTCCTATACAGTATTTTATAGTTGAGGGAACTACATTCATAAATAGTGTTACAAAATGAAAAATCTATCCTATGCTGTTAAAACCATCCTTTGCACATTTAAGGGCCGTTATAATAGATCAGTGATGAATCTGTATATCCAGAGAGATGGAATTTGATGGCAGTTTTGTTGCACAGCAGTAGTGTCCTCAAGAAGCAGTGGTGTTTTTCTCTCCATGCTACCTTTTTCTTTTCTTTTTTTTAATTATCTACCAGATTTTTGTTTAATACCTTAGTATATAGGAAATTTACTCTACCAAGATCTAAGTTGAGCCAGATTGAGAAATAAATAAGGTAAAGTCACTCTAGGTCCACATTAATGATTATTATAGAACTAGATATCAGTTTTTGTGAGTTTTATAAAATATTTTTGAGAAATGCTATAAATACGTGGCTCAGAAATTTGTCAATAATTTTATTTCATCCAAGCAAACCTAGCTACATAGTTCATCCTGGATATATATATATATCTTAATGGATTATTCAGAAGTAGTCTGTTTTGCAAGTATATGGATACTTGTAAAAAGTCTTTCTAGTTTGGGGCTTTGATCCACCCCGATGTGTTTAGCTGTGTGTTCCAGGCGTTTGTATTCTACTAGCAATATACTGCTTTGTTATTTTTCTTGGCTCTCAACCCTTCAAGAAACTGTGCATTTTGCATTTGAAACACCATAAAACAGTCTTTTTTTTCTTATTTTATCTTCTAAAATATGAAATTTAAGAATTTTTTAAAAGTCTACAAGAACTGATTTCCAACACGTATCTACATTTAGTATATATCCAAGTAACTGAAGTCCAATGGCATAGATTGGTAATTTGAACTAAGACATTTCCAGGACATTTGTTCTGGAAATTCTTTCTGATACACACTTTAAAAGCAGATGGATTGTGACATATATTAGAATGTGAATTGAACATATGGATCCAATCCGTTTTGGAACTCATTGACATATATGTTATAAATATATTTAACATTGACCAAGGCCTCCTTTTTGCTTCTGGAAATATACAGTAGACGAAATACACAGTAGAAAGCTAAAATGACTTTTAAAAGGCTGATTTTTTTCTCTAGAGAAAATGTAATAAATAGAAAACTAGCAGCCCTACAAGCATCAGCACATGCTGGCTCTCCACTTCTTTTACCTCTTATTGGCTTTACGTTATCCTTGCCCAGACTAAACCTTCATAATCCTTTACTTAACCAGCTACCCACACTAGCAACTTGAAAGTCATCCTTGATTGTGTCCTCTTCCCTACCCCCGACTGTCAGTCACTACGATAATCTCATTTTTAATATCCCTTACATCTGACCACGTACCTCCATGCTCATTGCTGCCTAGTTCAAACTCTCATCATTTCTCACCTGAATTATTATAGTAGCTCCTGATTGGTTTCCCAATTCTCTTTTCATCTGTCACTAAAGCTTGAGTGTTGCCGTTAATACTTCATTCTTGCTTCAAATCTTTATGTGACTCTCCATTACCTTCAGCATGTAGTCTAACACTAGAATTACATATAAATGCTTTTGTCATCAAGACCCAGATTCTCACTCAAGCTTCATTTCTTGCCACTGTTCCATATCACCTCTATTGTGTAGCTGTAGCACACTACTGGGTCTTCTCTGATTATATAATTTTCCTATTCCCTTCTGATGTCTTTTAATGTTTTCTTTCTTCTCCATGGAACTTCCTTCCCCCATCTTATTGGCCTGGCTAAATTCATATTCTCCAAGACACCATTTAGGTGTCACTACCCTAAGAAGTTCATGGATGACTACCGAGGGGAGAACTCCCGGTACCCCCAATCCTTCCTTGGTATATCTCACTTAGCAAGTTTGAGGGTATGTCATTGTCTTTAAATGTTAAGAAACATTTGGTTACAAGGTGGTGCCAAGTTTTAGGGTAGAATTCCAGTAACAGTTAAAACATCGCCTTACACGAAAGCTGCTCCTCAACCACAGCCTGAAGCTGGAATTCTGACCCATTACCTCATAAGTCCAGGCCATTGGTCACAAGGGGCACTGGTTGGAGTGGGGGTGACTCACTGTAACCTGTCACCACCACTATTAGACCAGCTCCAACGACACTTAGCCAGATATGAGAAGTGGAATCAACTGCCTTGTTAAAGAGGAATTTTGGCGCTTGGAGGATCATGTTTACCTAAAAGTTAAGGAGCCTCACTCTGGAAGAAAGCTCTTGGCTGATGAGGGAGAAGAAAATGTGCCACCCAAGTGAAAAGTGTACTTTTATTTAGAATTAAGTCTCAGCCAAGAACTTGCAGTGAAAGATTGTTCTGTTTCTTTTTTCTTTTAAAGTATAAACTACACTTTTTTATTAGCCTCAGATAGTAAGACAGATTCATATAACTTAGAAATAGTAGTCAAGATAGTCTGTACTGAGCAAAGAGCAAAGCTGAAATAAATACTGATCAGAAAATACATTGTTATTTGATTATGTATAAAATTTCAGTAGAAAAGAGTACTTAATTTTAAACTAAAGCAGTTTAACATGCTAAAGGGGAAGAGAGCCTGCCTATTTTCCTAGAAAAATGTCTGTCACCGAATTTTAGGAAGTCTATGAAACTAAAGTAAATGCCTGATAATTACCAAATAAATGGTATTTGTTTGCTACTTCTAAGTGATTATTTTTAAAAATCCAAGTTTTCAAAAATAACAATAGTTATAATTAACCAAGAGTCAGTCCTGTTAGTTTCCAATGCCACTGAAATAAAAAGGTACATGAAAGCTCAACCAGCTGAGACCCACCAGCCAGGTGAGAGTAGATATTTAAAGTTCTCATAACAAGAAAAAAATTTTTGAAGTTATATGTGGGGTGGATGTCAACTAGAATTAATGTGTGATGGTTTCACACTATATACAAATAACAAAATGTATTATATACCTAAAACTAATATTATGTTATATATCAATTATATCTCAGTTTTTAAAAATGAATGAAGACAAACAATACAAGTTTTGGCAAGGATATGAAGAAATTGGAACACTTATGTACTATGTATAAATGATATAGCCACTATGGAAAACAGTCTGGCAGTGCCTCAAAAAAAAATAACCCTAGAATTACTATGTAATCTGGCAGTTCCACTTCTGAGCATAAACCTAAAGGTGAAAGCCAGAACTCAAACATATACAGGGTGGGGCAAAAGTAGGTTTACAATTGTGAGTACATAAAGCACAGAGTTTATTCTTGTATTATTATTTATTGATTATTGTATTATTTGCCATATGAACAACTATAAACCTACTTTTGCCCCACCCTGTGTTTGTATACCCATGTTCATAGTAGCATTATTCACAGTAGCCCAAAGGTGGAAACAACCCAAATGCCCATCCACAGATGAATGGTCAAACAAATTCTATGTGCATACAATGGAGTATTATTCAGCCTTAGAAAGGAAGGAAATTCTGATACATGCTATAGCATGGATGAACCTTTGTTATGATAAATGAAATAAGCCAGTCACAAAATGACAAACACTATATGATTCCACTTAGAATAGTCAAATTGAAAGGCAGAAGGTAGAATAGTAGTTGCCAAAGCCTGGAGGGAAAGTGTGTAGGGGAGTTATTACTTAATGGGTATAGAGTTTCAGTTTTGCAAGATGACGAGAGTTCTGGAGATGGTGGTGATTATTACATAACAACGTGAATATGAAGTAAATGACTACATAAGAATCCCAAACTGGTGCAATTGCAGTGAAAACTTATTTTATATAACTTTTCCCCATCCTTCACCTATTACTCCTGCCAAATTATCTGATGTCATCTAATTTTGCACCGCAATATACCTTACCCTCTAGCTACTGAATGGCTTCCAGCTTTCTAATGTAGCATCGTACCATTCCCATTTTTTCTCTTTACTCAGATTCTCACCCCCACCTATTCCCACATTTTTTGTTTCTGACAAACTCCTACTCACATCCCAAAACCCTGCACAAGTATCTTCATCTCTGGAGTTTTCTCTAACAACCCTAGTAGAGTGAATTACTTTTCTTTTCACACGTGTAGCTCGTACAACTGTGTTTGTGTATATCACACTGTATAACAATAATTGATTGCATTTCTATCTCCCCCCTAAAATATCAGCTTGTGCAGGGCAGGAACTGTTTGGTTTCCATCTCTGTATCTCTGGCACCTACCACAGTTCCTGGCAAATAGTAGGCACATGATAATGATGAGAATAATAATAATTCTATAATAAAAATAATAGAAAATAACATTTAATATACTTACTATATGCCAGATATTATTCAATATACTTTACACTTAGTGATTTATTTTAATCAACACAACAATCCAGTCAGTTGGGTACAGAGTGGTTGAATAGCTTCCCAAAAGTTGCCTAACAAATAAGTAGCAAGGCTGGGATTTGAACTCAGTCAATCTGACTTCATGGTCTTTGTTCTTAACCACTATGTCATACAGCATTATATACATCAAAAAGTGGTTACACACATAAATCAATTAATTTTATTGTTTCACTCTCTTCTAGGCCTAAGCTACTTTTACCCTTTTCTTAAGTAGCATTTATTTTAGGGGAGATGTGTACATTGTTTTATTTGTTTGAGTTGCCGTAGATACTAATGTAATTGGATGTAATAGTCAGATAATTCCCTCTGGCAGATTTTCCTTTTTAAACAAAGTGAAAACAATAAGAAATCAACTATATAGCAAAGAGAAACTTACTGGGAAACTGTGCCTGGTATTCATGCCCACTGCTTCTAGAGTTCTTGCTTCCATGCGTAGTGATGAAGACTGTGGTCCCATGTTAGTATTTTAGGTAGACAGAGCATCAGTCAAAACCTAGAAATGCTGTGGCCAGCTTTAAAGTTGTGCTGTATTGAGTGCATATGATTTCCTCCTAGGCATAATCTAAAATTGAATGGGTTTATATGTGACGACTAGAAAGCAGTGCCAGTATTTGTTCTGCTTTGTAGTATGCCAGGTATAATATTAAAAATATAAGCCAAAACTCAGCCATAATTTTTAATAAGAGTAAATAATAAACTATGCATAATAGTTATATGTCTGACAAAGAAGAGTTGCATTTGTTGGTGTTCCCAATCTTTAATAAGAATCAAGGGGCTGAGGGTGACATAAGTGGTAGATTTTAATTATTAGGACAGAGCAGCTGTATTATTCCTCCTTTCTCTTTTAGTTTCCCCAAAAGTATACTGTGCTTGCTTAATTCTCTTTCTTGGTAGCAGGGACACAGGATGAGGGATAGTGCTCCCAAGATGAACTGAACGGTTTACTGACAAGCATGGTGGAGCCTATCTAGTTGACAGTTTTAATGACAGTATTAAATTTTATTTTGTTTTATTATAGCACAGCCTTGCAGAATTGGAGTTTAACCCTTCTCATATGTCCATGTTGCACATAAGTGAAAACATTCAATACAATAAAGAACCTTTGCCCCCACAGATTTTCTATTGCCTGTGTTTCTCAATAGCCACTCGTGAACTCTCTTCCACTTAAAAAATTTCTCCCTGCAGCTTTCCTGAACATGAAGATTTTCCCTTTCCACTGCTGGCTTTTCTTTCTCTGTACCTCAGGCACTTGGAGGCTGCGTGGCTGTGGCAATGGTCCTGCCAGCCTCCCTTGATCGCATCTCTGTCTATAGCTGATCTCCATGGCAATGAGAAGCATAAAGTGCTGAAGCAGCACACACTGTAAGCACTGGCAAGAGAAGACAGTGCCACGGCCCACACAGGAAAGGCACTTAATCCCCACAATGCTAGAGACGCCAGGGAGAGCGCGCTGCGGTGGCGAGTGGGAGTCTCTCTCAGTTAAGGACGCAGACTTGGCAGATTTATTAGCAGCAATATTCTAGGATGAACCTAATTTACAATGAGTAAGTGCTTCTTTCAACTGGAAAAAACTTTAAAAACGTTTCCCTTCTCTTTCAGGAGGCCAGATGCTCCAGTGCCTGATGGCGAAGGTGAAAGAAAAACAGAAGAAAGTTCAGACAGTGAATCCTCTTTTAGTGACTAAGATTAATTTTCATAATAATTACAGATAACACGTGTAGAAGTACTTTACATTCTATCAGAAAGAGAGTCTGAACTTGACCTCTTTTTCAAAACAACCTCAAGTGGCCAGATATTCACCACCAAGCTTCCTCAGTGCTAAAATTGTAATAATAATAAAGCATTTATAACCTGGCAGTATATGTTGTTACCAATTAAGGGTAAATAAAAATAACCTGGAAAATAAAATAACCTAAAAAAGTTAAATTAGTGCTACCAATACTAAGATGGAATATTGCAGAGATTTAATGAACATTTAACATAAAATCAATGTAAGATTAGTGATAAAAATACTCAATGCAAAAAAAAGTGAATTTGGTTGAGTGAATTATTCAGTTTTTATGACTTTTAGCATGAAAGTATTATGTGTATTTTTGTATCAGAAGAGTTGCTAAATTTCTGGCAGAAAGTAATATTGAAGTTTTATGTGACAAATTAAAACATATATCAAATAGTATGGATACGGAACTTATTGGTAGTATTTATTATAGAATTTTTCACCACTTGGCCATTAGTTCATATACCATCAAAGTTAGATATTAGTATTATATTTTTTATCTTATAGAAATTGAATTAAAGGTAGTTTCAATGTGGTTCATAGTGAGCAAGCATCATTATCATCAGCTCTTTTACTGCCTAAACAGAAAAAATATATTTAATTTGCACAGGTTTAAAATGTCCTCACCTCACCTTGCAAATAATTCTCCAAGAATAATTATTTGCACACGATCTAGAAAATCTGTAAAATCCAGCTGACCCTTGGTATCTGTGGGGAATTGGTTCCAGGAGCCGCCATGGGTACCAAAATCTATGGGTGCTCAAGTCCCTCATATAAAATGACAAAATATTTCCAAATAACTTATCCACATCCTTTTGTGTACTTTAAATCTTCTCTAGATTACTTTAAATGCCTAATACAATGTAAATGCGATGTAAATGGTTATTACACTGTTGTTTAGAGACTAATGACAAGGGGAAAAAAAAGTCTGCACATGTACACTACAGACGCAGCTATCATAAGCCTAACTACATAGTACATGTCAGCAATAGTGCAACATTTTAACAAAATACTTTCCATCCACTGTTGGTTGAATTCACAAATGGTGAATCTACAGATATGAAAAACCACCTACACTTACATGGAAAGATATATAAATACATTTGATTAGTGGTGCTACTTTCATCACCTGAAAGTAGATCCTGAAAAAGGACTTGAGTGTATGCAAGCCATTTGTGAGGTGATCCCAGGAAGCAAAAGTAAGAAAACAGAGAGAGTAAAAGTGGGGGAAAACCCATAAGAGGTGTCTTACCAGATTACCATTGGGGAGCTTGGGACTTGGTCCAAGGACCATAGCACCACCTTGGAAATGAGCAAGTGCTTCCCAGGATTGTCTGTCAGAAGGACTAGAGGCTGGACCCTCTGTCCACTAGCCTTGGACCCATTGGTTGAAGGCATTACTCCTCTTCATTTATGTGATATACTTAATAGGCCTGGGGGTTCCCATGGCGTTTGAAAGGACACTTTGTCACAAAGTGGAGAAATGGGGCCCGTATTTGAGATGGGTTTGCTGTCACCAAAAGTGAGTCTGAGATTGAGTGGGACCTTACAACAACGCTGGCTGAAACCCCAGGTGGGCCCGGAGGATATGTTGTAGGGCCACCACCACAAGCATTGGCTACAGACAGAGCTGCTGCTAAAATACCAAGTTGACTTGGACTTACTATCATTTAAAATGTATGATTTTCTTTCTTGGATATAAAGGTAAGTTGGACGGTAAGCGACACTCAAGATTTCCAGAACTTTTTCATTAAAATTTTTAGTTTTTAAAATCTTCCAACAATGACCAAAGGATAAACAATGACTAAATCTATAGCTTTATAGTCTGTTGCAATTATAATACAATTTTTAAATGTTTCCTTTTGCACATACCCCGCTGAGTTCTTCTGCAAAACTTTTATATCTGAACCAGAACGTGGCTCCTGTTAGAGTAAATTGTGTCCATGTGCTCTTGAAGAGCGCCCAGACAACATAATGTTCAGGGAAACTTTTGTTTCTGATCAAGTTCTTCACAAAAACAAGCTTGATTTCCAGGAGTCGTGAAGAACTTAAATTCCCACAGTTCTTTGCTTCAGCAGTTGCTGCAGCAGTGCCAAGGTGTCTTTTCAAAATCATTCCCTTTTACTTTTCTTGTTGATAAGATTTATAAACAGATGGTCACTAAAATCACTTACTTGTTAGCCAGTTTCTAAAATTCTTTCAGTAAATTTCTTCCCCAATCAAGGACTATATTTTCATCTCAGCTGAAATTTGCCGTTAGTTATCCTTCTCAAAGCAATGGAGAAAGATTATATTTTGTTAAGATTTCGAGTTGTCAAATTTTTATATAGATTAAATGCAATCCAATAAAAATTCCAGAATTTTTTTAATAGAAGTTGACCAACTGATTCTAAAATTCATATCAAAATTCAAGGAACCAGCTAAAATAGCCAAAACAACTCTGAAAAAGAACAAACTTGTAGGACTAAAAGTATTTGATTTCAAGAGTTATTTTAAGCTACAATAATTAAAGTATGGTATTAGTGTAAAAATAGATAAGCATGTTAATGGAACAGAATGGAGAGTCCAGAATTAAACTGACATACACTTGGTGTTAATTTTTAACGAAAATGTAAAGGCAGGTTATTGAAGAAGGCAGCATTTCAACAGATGGTGATGGAATTATTCAAATGTTAAAAAAATAAACTTTAATCCATACCTTGAACATTATACAAAATTAAAATAGAAATGTAAATCCTAAGACTACAAGAATTCTAGAAAAAGAATATAGGAAAAAGTTTCTGTGACCTCAGGTTATGCAAAGATTTCTTAAATGCAATACAAAAAGTATGATCCATAAAAAAGCAAATTAATAAAACATAACACCAAAATTAAAAAATTTTCTTCAAAAGATACTGCTAAGTTCATGAAAAGGCATGCCATAGACTGGGAGGAAATGTTTGCAAATTATACATCTGATAAAGGACTCATCTCTGAAATATATAAAGAACTCTCAAAACAATAATAAAAGATCCAACTTAAAAAGATGGACAAAGATTTGACCAGATATTTCAAAAAAAGTATACAGGTGACAAGTATGCAAAGCAATGCACAGCATCATTAGTCATTAAGAAAATGCAAATTAAAACCACAATCAGATACTACTATTCACCTATTAGAATGACTAAAACTAGAAAGGCTGACTATACCAAGCACTAGCAAAAATGTGGAGGATTTGAGGAAAAGTTTATATATATATATATATATATATATATATATATATATATATGATATGAAAACATCAC